ACACAAAGAAGAATTTAATCGACTTCACATCCAAAATAAAAGCACTTATGAAAGGAAAACCTGCTTAACTATATGGACAAAGGAGGACAAAGCATTTAAGGGGAGATGGTAAAACCTGGACTTCAGAATTCAAGGTATAATGAGGGAAGATCACCAACAACCTCGCTGAACACAGGAAGGATGACAATTAAATAGAGGTACAGAATTGAACTGAAATGGAGGACAGAGAAGTAACATTGAGAATTATGTAGTTATGCTTCATGGCAGTTTAATAAAAACTCACATACACTCATTGTCTTTTCACACTGCAAAATTACAGAATTAAGTGGATCTGATCGTTTTAGCCATAAGAAAAGAATAATACGACTCAAACTAGTGCTCTCTGTAAGCAGAGCACCCTCGAATGGAGGGAGGAAAAAACAATCTTGCTAATTTTTAACACATGGCAGAAAGGTGTGACAGGTCCTGACAAGCAGAACAGCACAGGGTACAGTGACATGAAAAAAAAAATTAAATTAAGACTTTCAGAATTAAAAAATGTATGTTTCCAGACCAAAAGGAAAAAAAAAAAATCCTCACAACCTCTAAATGTAGTTAATTTGTTAAGTTCACAAACAGCCAGTGCCTTTGGCCTAGAGCTGTGCCTTAAAGAAAGGAACAGCTCAGCTCTCATTCAGGTGCTGATTTCCTCAGTTCATGGCCGATTGTGCAATATTTGTTTCAGCTCTCCCAGGGCAGGTGAACAGATCTGTGAGCCACCAGTGCCAGGCATTGTTCAAGTTCACTCAATCCCATCAACTATCTCAGAGTCACATTAACCATCAAAGATATGCAGAATTCAGGCAGTTGGTTAACACAGGCAGATAATGCAACAGATAAAAATGGCTTTAGGCATTGCTGCTCTTGATCTAAAGCCAAGCTACAGAATATGCCAAAAATCTGCTTTAGAGATGCAAAATAGTGAGAATTGCTCATTGAAGAAATGCAAATGGTATATTCATGTTCTCTCACAGCCCAGGTATCCTACCTGTGTGAGGGAAAGGATTGTAATTTCACAACAAATAGAAAGGTGTTCATTGTGACACTGCTACTGATTCACCTCCTATTGAGCCAGAGAATACGAAAGGAAATAATGTTCTTTATTTCTATTGCCCACATTCTTACTCCAGCTGTTGTATTCTCACTGAGGTAGGAGACAGTGCTATTTTTAAGCTCTTTAATGTTACTCAGTGTCTCCAGGATCATTCCAGATCCAGCGATTTTCCTTCAGCATGCCCAGATGATGGAAGCATCCAGCAGCAAGACAACCAGGGATCAGATACAACTGACATCCCCCTCTCTCCTTGAAATAAAAACCTTTGGGAGCTCCCAGAGGCTAACACTCTAGAAATTAAACAACAGAATAAATGAGAGGCAGAGTGAAAGACTGCACAGTGTCTGTGGGTTGGGAAATAATTTCCTGGGCTACTCCAAACTTAGAAAGTTGTTTTATAGAACACTAGTATGTAAGGTTGTAGCTCCTCCAGAGGAACACAAAATATAATAAAAGAACACAAGATATAATAAATTTTAAAATATTTATATATATATATAAATATTTATAAATAAAATAAGATATGAAGGCATGTTTTTTTCAAAATTAAGGGAACTAGAATCTTGAATCTTCCTATTAATTAGCTACCAACAAAGCATACATGTTTTGTGGTTGGTAAATAAGCAACACCTGGCTTACCCTGGATAAATGGGATAGATGCAGCTTCTAGGAATAAACAAAACCAGTATGATGTCCCTGAGCTTTACAACTGCTCAAAGTAGGGATTTGAACTGAGCCTTATATTTCTTAAGCAGAACTTAAGAATTTCTAGTATAAATACACAGAGTCTCAAAAACTTGTGTCTTCTGAGAGTGTCTGTTTATAGAATTCATGTCAGGGGGACTTAGAGATGATGTAAAATGGTGGACAAGGTGACAGCAGTCATGCTTGAACAAAAACCACAATGTATTAGTGATTTGTATTTTGAGATCCAAAATTCTCCACTCTGAACATTTCCAAGGACAGAACAGTTCCAGCCTACAAACCTTATTTTTAAAAAGTGTTCCAGATAAGAGAATAGAAATTAACTTGCTCTTTAAAGCACAATTAATCTATGATTAGACACAAAGGAAATTAAACACAAAGGCTGCTGCTGTTAACTCAGATGTGTTCCAGTACCTGAACCTGGGGCGAGCTCTTCATGTTTTTAGATGGAGACCCAGATTTCTTTAAAGAATAACTTGTTGGGATGATCCCAGAGGCATCTGATAGCTTTGGCTCTGCTGTTCAGTAACCAGGCTTCAAGTCAGAGTATGGCAGTTTGCAATTAAGACTAACACAAAAGAAGAACAACCTCAGGGATTATTTAGAACCTTGGGAGATTTCTCTTGGTGGGCAAATCTGGAGACTTTTCCTACTTTTAGATCTGTAGTAACAGCAACAACAGACTGAAGCCTACAATATCAGGGCCCACTGGGAACACTGATCTTTAAATCTGACTCCCAGGAACAATCAGCAGGACTAGGATTAAGAATAAAATTTCTGAAAATATATCGAGACTGCATAAAGTCAAAAATCCAGGTCAGGAGAATTGCAAAACAGTGGAAAGTGCAAGTCTGCAAATTAGAATTTCAGGAACAAACCAAAAAAGCTCACTGCTTCACAGGCATTTCTCAACCTTCTGCTTTTTTTTTTTTTTTTCTTAATTTTTTTTGTGCCCCTCCACCTACTCTGGTTTATCAGACTGATTAAAGCCAGGCCAGAACTTCAAATACAGAACAAAACTTCATTCAAACATCCCCAAACATCTTGCAAGGCTAGAAAACTGAATGGCATGATTATTCTGAGGACAGCAGAGTGATGTTCTTTTAAGAACAGAAATCCACCCTGACACTGGTCAGTAGATTTGTGACCAGGCCAACTTTTCTCAAAGTTGTGTCAGAACTATTGAGGGTCTCTGCACCAAACTGATCTATTTGCCCACCAGAAACAGCTGGATGTGTTCCCTTTTCTCCTTCAGGCCTTTGAATTCGAGTTCTGTAAGACCCAACATGAACCCAGAAGGTTACACCTCACACAGACATCCCACACATTTTCTATACCTGTAACAAGGAAAATGTGCTGGCTCTGATGGAAATGGAGTTAATTTTGCCCACACCAGCCCTCTCAGTGCTGTGTGCTGGTAACACACCAGTGCTCCCTCAGCACCAAGGCTGTCTCTCCAACATCCCCCATCTCCAGAAGGCTGAGGGTGGGCAAGGTCTTGGAGTGGCAGTCAGGGCAGCTGGGCCAAACTGACCGAAGGACTGTTCCTTTGCTTTTAATAAATCACCTTGATCTTGACCCATGAGTTTTTTCTACCTTCCCTTTCTCCCACCACCCCGTCCTTCTGAGGAGTGACAGAACCCAGCCAAGGCCAGGCCACCACAAGTACCAGACTGAAACAGGACCATAAATTCCCCTGAATTTAGAACGTGGCAGTAACAGGTTTGTGTTACTTAGAACAGATCATAAAGACTCTTCAGTCTTCCCAGGTCCTCTTTATTACTTGCTTGATTGTCATTTAATAGCTCATACTGAGAGCTGTTGGACACTAAAGTGTAACACAATATAAACAAAATAGTTGTAGAGCTTTCTGAAAAGACTACAGATTGTTTAGCTGAATTTAGTCTAATTAAAAAAGTCTTAATTTACATCCATAGAAGCCATATAAGCAAGAAATATGATAGGTCTTAGCACTAATTTCCATAAAACAAGCATACTGGATCAACTTGCCTTTCTGGTTTTTTGGCATCTGACTGCAGAATTACATTAACTGATTGATATCAGAACAAAAACAACTTTCTATTTATCATTTTATTGAGTTAGGTTAACTGCTACTCAGGTACTGTTAAAGCTATAATTTAATAAATTCCATTGTAAGGATTATCAGATTTCAGAAGAGCCCTAAAACAGGTGGTGTGATGAGCAGGTACACATCCCACCACCAAGCAGCAGGTTGTTTGGCAGAATTCCTCAGCTAAAAAGACTGCAATAATCTCTACTTTGAAGCAAGTGTGTTTTACAGTTCAAGAAGTTCAAAAGGTGTTTAGTTGATGAAGAGCAATAATCCTAAAACTGTGTTTTGTTCAGATACCTGCAGGAAACACCTCCATGACAGACCAGGTCAACTGACCTTGCCTTTCCAGAAACCTCTTGCACATTGAAATAAGTGAGAGAGAAAATGTCAAAGATGTGGAAACAATAAGGTTGATTTTGCTGTATATTGTTGATAGGAATACAAATTCAGTTTTCAAGTTTATAAAGGAGTATTTGCCAATAGTGTTGACAAATTAACTAACTGCCATAACCAGTTATTTATGTATATATGTATATATTATCTTTGGATAAGTAGAACATATGCACAAACTCTCTCTAAAGAACACTGACCCTAATCACAGAAAATCATACAAAACCAAATTCTTATAGATCAGAGAAAAACTACCTCACAGAATATTCCTGACACTTTATTTTACAGTCAGACATAGAGAGAAACATCAGCTGAACTGCAGGCCAGTTCATCAGTGGTTACAACTCATACATTCCCTATGGCTTACAGTTTCTTAATTATTAAAAGCAGATAAACTATAGCTGCAGCCAATCCTTTGCAGCTTTTCACAACTTAGGCTACATAAAAAAGGCATTCTCCCTTAGATTACAGACATTAGCCAAACCTATATACTTATTTGCAAAAGAGTATCACTGTTGTAATGAGATCTGGTTTTCTGAACAGAGAAAATAAAAGGAAGAAAAGAAGTTCAGTCAAAGCTCCCATTCAGTGCAAGGATTAAAAATAAAGGAAAAGAATACACTGGTTATTGCTTTGCCTCCCTCAGCCCCACTGTGAAATTTTCATATCCTTTTAAAGATGTATCCGGAACTCTGTCAAAGAAAAACCCAGAAATACAGACAAGAAAAAAGTACTCACACTGTTTGGGTGTTGAATGGCAACTTCGTGCTGCAGCCTAACCCGCTGTGGCATCATCACATCATCCTGGAATAAATAGCACTCTGTTACTGAACATAAAAAGGGTCACAGTACAGTACTGACACACTTTAGAATATGTTGCTAAATTAACATCATTTTACTGGCTTGCAGTCAGAAATGCAAATAGAACAGATATTAAGAGACCTCACATTTTTTGTGGACTAAACTTGAGCTGGAAGTGATCAAAACTACTACGTGACAATGGTGCTGTGATCTCAACATGCATCCACAGGCACCCAACATTTAACATTTATTTCTCAAGAAACTCTCCAACACTTTCACAACTCCCAGAGCAGCACTGAGTGTGAGGACAAGGAACTACCCCTCAGTTAAAGCCAGGAGATCTGAGACACAGCACTATGAGGAAAATGTTCTCTGCAATCTGGCTGTACCTTGTTCCACTGAAAATGAAAAGCCTTTGGTCTCTAGATCTAAAAATATGTCATATTTCATGGGCACAATAACTAGGACTTGTGAAATGAGAAAATTCTAAGGAAAAGGAAAAAAGAGAAGTACCCACACTCATAAAATTCATTAGCATTGACACTGACACGCCACCCAGATTTAAACTTTGTGTTAATTCTTCTTCTGCTTGTAGCATAAAGATCTGTTTTGTTTACATACAAAAAGATAGGTTGTTTTGTGAAAAGCCAGTAACTTTGCTATCTGCCTTGAACTGTTAGGAGAGATTCCTTTCAAAATTACATTATTTCCTGTTCAAAATTAAATCATTTCTAGCCAGTGACTTTACAGTCTATAGAAACTGCAGCAGAATTTTTCTTCCCTAAATTTAGGCCCCTGAGGTTTCTTCCTATACTCTTTTCCATGCTGGTGCCATATTTCCCCCCTTCTAAAGAATGAGTCTTTTTTAGATGCTGGTTAGAGCTAACACAGCTTATTTCTTCTCAGAGTATTCCCAAATAAACTAAATCAGGCAAACATAATTCAAAGGAGCCTTGAATTCCTGTTCTACAGACAGTCCATTAACAGTTCCTCACACTGAAATCATTCTGAGATTCCTATTAAAGCACAAACCCTCAATATTGAATTTACAACCACTTTAAAACTTCCCATCAAGTCAACATCAACAAAAAGTATATTAGTGCTTAAATATCTACAGTTTGAAGAGTTGAATGACCTTGCTATAAAGGTGCCACTACAGTTTTATCAAAACAATGCAGGATAAAAAGTTTCAGAAGTAGGTCCAACTATTTAATACAATTCAAGGTTAAAGATAAAACAATAATAAAACTGACTCCTATCACATGTAAGTTTATAAAAGATGGGAGGACTACGTTGTCAAAAGCATTTTTCCATATTTTGCATTTAGGATATATTTAGTAATAAGCATGACAGCTGTTCCTGATTTTCAAATCCAGTAGAGCAAAAAACCCTTCTGATTTCTCATGAGTTCAAAACTACAGTGATATTACTTACCACCTAATCCACTTCATCAACAGAGCACCAGAATTCCAGTATCAAGTAAGTGCTACAATAAAACCTTTACCCTATTTCCCACAAGAAGAACCATAAACCAATTTCTTTAGGCCTAATACAGAATTGATTTTTGCAAATTAAAATCTGGTTTTCATACAAGCAATAGCAGATATGTTTTAACTGAACTTTACTCACTCCTTTACAAGTTGCTAAAGATGCTTAGATGTTTTCTGAGCATCATTTTCTGTATAGAGAATAAAATAAAAAAAAAGAAAAAAAAGGAGAAAAAAATCCACCAAAAAGCCAGGAATTTCAATGCTCAGAACAATGTTACCCTCATCTTTTACAAGATACAACATGTGCTCTTGTGCTAAAAGATCTCACTGTTCATGATCCCACACAGCAGAGAGAATTCTTACATTCACAAAGATGAAAAATAATAATATACTTGATTAAAAAAGGTTAAATCAGCATGGAAAGTATTCAAACCAAATTGAAATAACCTATGTACCAAAGAGGTCGATGTCATGTTTTCATAACCACCCAATTTGACAGGAATGGCCCCGTTCCCCTAAGAAAACACTGTGTCAGTTTGATGCTGTTGGCAAAACTCACACATCTCCAGATCTGGGGCTTAGGCTATCAGAGAGCATCAGGATTCTGTAAACTCCAGCTAAAGAGGGGGCACTGTAGCCACAAAAACTTCTAAATGCCTCTTTTTATTAATACAGCTTTGTTCTCTAATGCTGGAAAACTCTATGAACTCTTACCCTGGATGACCTTTATTTCGTTTAATAATTCTGTCTCGTTTTTTTATTAGTAGCTTTACACACACACCGCTGCACTGTTCTGTGAGAGCTTCCAATTTCATAAAAGGAAAAAAAACATGGGAAAAAAAGGAATGTTACAATTTAGGATATAATCCCAAATACTGTAACAAAGCAATTGGATGATGAGGAAGAACAGCACAAAAGATAAATCACACCCCAGACAGAAATGAGATCCAAGCATCATTCAGCTTTCTTGGATTCAGGTTGGTACCAGAAAAGTAACAGCAAAATCCAACTTCCACAGATTCTTCACTGTGGATGACTGCAAAGGTGACCATGGAGTGGAAAACAGAACGTATTTATAGTGAAATAATCATGGATTTAAGACTGATATTTAAAAACCAAAATAAATTCTAATGAGTAAAACTAAAACTATTGTACCACAAATTAAGAGCACCTTAAAAAAATGATGGAATTTTAGCAACTATAGTATTAAACAACTAAGGTAGTAAAATATTTTACACAACTGTATGTGATGCAATCACAAATTTCCTATCCAAGCTGCTGCACTTATGACATTCAATTCAGCAAATGTGTTACCACACTTCAGTTTCTACAGGCTGAGTTGGGTCATCTCGTTTTTTTGGGGTTTTTTGTTTGTTTGTTTGTTTAAAACTGAGAACAAAACCTCAGTAATCAGGCAAACACTTTCCAAATTATTTTTCACTCATTTCAGACAGAAAAAAAAAAGGGCCTATATAAAAAAGGGAAGTATATTTAGTTTGTTTCTGTTTCCTAGGTGAGAGTAGGGAAGATAACAATAGTAGCGGTGACTTACACTGAAAAATATTTTTAACAAAACTGAAGTTTAGAATGAAATCCAATTTTCTTTGTTCACATGGAAATCTCTAATGGTCCCCTAGCAGATATACAGCTGACAAGATGAAATTTCCCCCATGGAAAGAATGGACAAAAGAAATTTGAAATAAATGCTAAATAAATGCATGCCTTCCCTACTCATATACTTGGAATACAAAAGCTGGCCTCTTCTGCCAGCCTGTGGGGACCACACTGGGCTCCACACAGTGGTAACTTCATCATTTTCCCTTCAAACTGGTGCTTCTGCACTTCAGAAAGTAAAACAAAATATGCAATTCACATCACAATACACATCTACTTTTTGCAACCAAGGGCAAGTTCACAGAAAACAAAACACTAATTATAGCTTAGTATTGAGGTGCTTCCTTAAGCTCACATTACAGACCCAGCATTTTGTGCTTTTCCAAAGTCCTTCATATTTGGCTGCTCAAAATGAAAAAAAGGATTGAGAGCTGATACACTCCCATAACAACAGCACCTTCTTTCCACTGCAGCTATTAAATGCAAAATACAACCAGCAGCAACAGCGGGAGGAATGTTTCACTCATTGAGCAACAATATGGCATCTCCAAAATCTTTCAATTCATCAAATGGTCCATTCATTTATCCTGCACCTGCTCAGACTAGTGGGAAAATCTTTCTTTGCTATTGTTCAGTTCAACTCCTTGAACCAGGGAAGTGAAATGCCTGGGACCTCCAAAAACTGGTCTGTCAACAGCTCTACTGAAGGAAATACCCTGATTCCAGGCAATTCTCCAGGGGATGGTTTTTTACCAGCCCCACACTACCACACTCATTCAGGCACTCAAATGGCACCCACAAATCACCTGAGAATAATGATCTGTCAGTACTTCCAAGATCATAAGGAAAAAAATGCAACCTTTCTGTTTCTACTCCCAAATTAAACTGAGAGAGAAGGGGACAACAAAGGAAACACTTCAAATTTAAGAAGCTGACTGCATGGAGCGCCTTTCTCTTTACTGAACATAGCAACAAACATAGACCTGGGTGGTGTTCTTATGAGCCTGACAATCTTTTTATGGAATCTTTTAATTAAGCATCACTATTAGTAGGTCAGGAAACTTTTGCTGTAGAAGCAGCTTTCACCTCAGTGCATTTATTCAGCAAATCCAGACAAATGCCTTTCCATATCTTGCTTTTCTGTGGTCACTGGAGATCACCTTTGATTTTTTTCTCATACTCAGATCACTGAAAAAAATGATGTGTCAGCAGTCAAGTGAAGCAGGGAAGTCACAAGGTGTTCAGCAGCAAAGCCAGTAAACCCAGACAAGAGTAAAAGCTTCACCAGCAACTCCAATTCCCCTCTTTAACTACTGAATAGATGAAGACACATGTAGGGAGAGGTTATGGCAACCAAATTCTGAAGGTCTGCCTCTTCATTTAACATTTCATACCAGACAGAGGCATTTAATCTGGTTTTAATACAAGCACATCTTTACAAAGCAATGATAGGAATGATGCCTTCAAGCACCCGTATTTTGAGTTTTTGGGGCTCATTAGTGATTAGGAAACATGGACAACTCTCCTGGTAATGGGGTTCACCACTACATCCACACACCTGATATTTGTGTGTAATAACAGCTTATTTCAGTTTTTAAATCAGAGGATAAGTTCCAAAGGAACAGTATGTTAAACAACAACAGAAAGGAATTACACGAACTCTGATCACATCTCCATTTCCTAAGAAATAATTTGAATTTTCCTCAGACTAATTTGAAAGAAAGGAGGAATAATTCAGAAGTTTATTAGTGCCTGTAATGTATAATGGCAACTAAGGAAATCCATGCTTCCAAACCCAGGAAGAGGCTGGAAAAACAAGCTGTTTATAACTGAATGTGCCTGCCACATCTACCAGGTCTGCCTAGAGAAATTCCAACCACCTTACTCCAAGGCCTTCAGCAATACCCCCTCAACGATGTGGGCTTGAACTTGAACCTCAAGGAACACATGCAATTTGAAATTAAGCAATTATGCACACAGCAATTAAGAATTACCATTCCCAACTTAAATCATACAAACAAATCTCCCAAAGCAAAAGGCACAGGTCAGCAGCTGCCAATTCCATCACAGAAATGACAAATCTGGTGTGGTTCACCCTCATTTTTGGTGAATAAAACTTATCAGTGTCACCATGGCATTTTTGATTATTAGCAGGCAGTGACACTGTGGCAACATGGCTTAAAGTCATCTCTTTGAACTGCCTGAGAATCTCTGAAATTGTGATACATTGCCAACAGAGCTTTTCAAAAGATTAAAACAAGCACGTTAAGTTCATAATCAAGTGATTATGACTGGGTTTGAAACACTGCAGGTCAAAAAAGGACACATTTTTATGTTTTTTCTTTAACAGTCAGGAATTCTCCAACAACACACTGAATAAACCTGAAACAACTGGAAAAGACACAGATTGTTAGGGTGAAATGAAAGCGTGATTTTTTCTAAAGAAATACAGTTTCAGACAAGTAGAGGCATGTTTATGTGCATGTCAATGAAAACAGAAGTTCAAAGCAGAATTTTTAATGTAAGAGCTCTGCTGTGCTACAAGTGGGTAAATGCCTCTAACAAAAATGGCACCACCCCAAAGAAGTGACAAACTACAGCTACAGTACAATGAAACTGGCAGATAAAGTCATAACTGCAGACAATTTAAAGAAGAAAAGTTAACAGTGAAATATATTTGCAAAATTAGTTCTCATTTTTCCACACTGTAAATGTTATATATGAAAACATTGTTAAGTAGCTTCAATTTTTCTACTTGTTTTCCCAGAGGGGAAAAAATGCCTCAGTAGCTTGGAGGTGAAATATGTAACAACAACCAGAGTAAAAAAACTCCACAATAGCTGTTTGTCAAACAGCTGCCACTTCATACTAGAAAAGGCTGATCAAATTCTGACAGTTCTGAGATCTGTAACCTTTTTTTTCCACATTTCTCCCCAGTTTGTTGTCCTCAGAAATCTGTGTTGAGAGACATAACACAAGCAGCTTGACTCCAGCTGGAAGGGCAAGCAAAAACAGTCTTGCTGGAGCCAGCCCTTCCAAAGACGCTCCCAAATTTGCTCATCCACTCATTTCCCTTCACAGAGAAAACAAAGGAAGGCACAAAAATCCAGGGATGTATTTCTCCTCCTCTTTGTAGTGTGCACAAACTACAGCCCCAGCCCCATGCCTCTCCACATCCACCTGTAGCAAACCTGAAATTGTGGCTGCACTTCTGAAGGTCAATTCCTTGGCATTACTGCAGCACATTCCAAAAGGTTGATATCAACATTCCTTCCTAGAGAGCTGGATACTGGACTGGTGACTGAAATGAAGAAGGTAGGTGGTGTGTGGAAGCAGAGTTGTTAAACAGCTGGCAACATCTGCGTCCCAGCTATTATCACATGACATTTACTAACTACCAAAACACTGAGCAATTTTTGGACTTGTAGAAGTTTCCACTTTATTTGCTCTGATCAGTTTTCAGAAAAAAATGATAGTCACAAAGAGAGACAGGAGAAAATACATCTAAGTAATGCCAGGCATTTAATAATTTTTTTGTAGCAAGATTAGGCTTCTAGTAGTCCAGAATGCCTCTGTTTTGAGGAAGTAACAGAAATGCACAGAACAGAAAATTTTGGTAACTTCTCCTAAGGTCATCCACACTGTAAACCATAAAATCCTCAACTCACTTCGAGTAATTCTTGATAATATTAAATACAAACTTCTGCTAATGATAATATTGCAGAAATACAGTATCATTACCAGTTATATTCCTTAATAATTATTTGCTTCCCTGATGTTTTGCTTTCCTGCAATAATCAGCAAAGAAACAACACAGCAGCAGGAAGATTTTAATATATGGTAAATAACAAATCAAGAATTCCGAAGAACCACTATGAAAATATGAATTAACTTCATTAAGAGAATTTGATCTTCTAGTTTATTGCTAGTAATTTTCAAACAACTAGATCTGTCTGGATTGAAAAGAAAGACTAACCCATAATTTACTTCAGTGCATCAAGCTACACATATTTGAGAGAGAAGATATGAAGCTCCATGGGACAAGAGTAGATTAATTTCTCATTCATGTACTCATGGACTCAGATAACTTCAGCCAGCTCAAGTACACACATTCCTCATCCTGCAGACTCCCCTAGAACATTCTATGCAAAGTGGTATCTGTCCAGGCCTGGAATAACCAAACTTTGCAATTCAAAAGTAAGTTCCCTTTTTATTTTTTCTATTTTAGATATGTGAACAGCCTCACTGATTAACAATATATCACAAAAATCCAAACATTTTAGCATATGAACAAAAAAAAATTTCTTCCATCTAGTTGATAATGCACTTGGAGTTTGCAAACTGAAGGATTTTCCTAATTAAAACCTGAGAATGGCTGTAGAGTTCACATACCTGCTCTCAAAACACTTTTTAATGAGCAAGACAATCATAATAGTCAGCTGAATTGTATCTGAAAACCTACCCTGTCAGCAGCCAGTTCATCTGTACTATCCTAACCCATAGTTCAGTTCCAATTCAGAGTGGAAAAAAATCAATCTTCAGGTGAAATTACAGGAGATCAGTGAGCCTTGAAGGTCCTGCTCTTCTTGCCTGATCCCAGCACAAGGCCCCACTGCTCTGCTCAGCTGGGCACCTTTGTGAAACCATTCCTGCATATTCAGCTGCACGAAGTGAGATCCTTATCTGGGGGTTAGTGAGCTGAATGGTTTCACAGAAGATATCCAACAAAGGACAGGAAAAAAAAAATTCAAGTTGGAAGGTGAGACCTCTCCTATTTTACATCAAAAAGCCAGTAGATTAGCTCTTAGTTTCTCATCAATACAATTTTCTGAAGAATGTGGGAAAGAAAAATCCTCAAAACACCTAAATACCAACCTTGCCCAGCCCTGTTCACAACAGCTTGTGAAATCTGATATAATCAAAGAATGATGTAAGGGTTTCTGCAGGTTGGAATACAACTTTACAGCCATAAATAGCAACCAGCACATTTAACAACTGAACACCTTTAAGCAGCTTGTCTTTCAGCAAATCAACAACTCCATTAAAAAGAAAAGGATTTATTGAAAAAACCAAGTTAGACAAAAAGCATTAACTTACTGAATCCAGAAAGCAGAGATAGGCTCCTGAGCTCTGAATCACGGCTTGATTTTTAGCAAATCCAACTGTTGAGAAAGCAAAGATAAAAATATGGAGGAGTTTTTACTGTTGCATCTTTTAAAATCTTAATAAAGTGAGGAACAAATAAGAGAAAATACAAAAATCAGTATCACACAAATTACCAATTTTTTCCACATTTAAAGCAAGATAATATGAGAATATTTAAATAGGATGCCTATGTCAGTCACCTACTCTGAGTAAGTACCAGAACTGTACAATCAATGAATAAGATTTCTTTTGCCAGCCCTCCCCAAAGGACACAATATGTAATGTGTATCTTGAAGAGGGCAGGTTTTATATCCATATTATTTATATATTTATACTCAGCTTGTAGAATCACAGAATGCTTTGGGTTGGAAGGGATCTTTAAAGGCCATTTAGGCCAACCCCTCACAAAGGCAAGATGCTGAAAACCCTTGGCTGCACATACATTCATCTTTTTAAGTCCTAAAATATACCAGCAAATCATAAAAGATGCAGAGAAGGACCAGAAACGGCTGGTCTTCACATCAGGGTTCTCAGAAGGACACAAAAATTTCTGTTCCTTGGTGCTTGTTAAGTATAAACTTTGCAAATACAAAAACTTCATGTGCTATTTATGCAAAGGCAGGTGTAATGCAGAGGGGAGCCAAAGCTTTTTTATTAGACACAAACACAAAGCACAAAGGTGGCTTATTTCTACCATAACGTGGTAGAAATCATCAGTGGAGAGCACACTGAAATGTCACTTCAGACAAATGACAACATTGGCACCTAGGGTCTCTTAGTTTCTGACCTCCAGACACTTGGTGAATCTTTTTACCAACACATTAATTTCAGGAAGCTGAACCAAGGAAGAAAATTCTTTTTGTCAGCCTTATTTCTGAAGCAGATGACTGTTCTGGAGGATCAAACAAATGGCAGAACCAGAAAAATAGGAAGGAGCAGGAATCCACAGCTGAAGGTAAGGATGGGACTGCAGCAGCCACTGAAATACAGCCACAAGGTGGGAATGCTTACCTGGGATCGTTTTTGCAGGCAGACAAGGTGTACCTAAGAACATTCTGCTCTCTGAGTTCTTGCCCTGGGCAGCATTTTAAGAAAAGACCACACTATATCCAGTGGTAGTCTGAAAAATTCTGCATGGATTCCTCTTGGTCACATATGCAACATAAACTTTCTTTGGAGTATTTATAGGACCAAGTCAGGGAATCCAGCTAGATCACCCTGACCTGCAAAATAAACATTGTGAAGACATGCAACACTGTAGGAATTTTATTTTTTTGGGGGGGAAACTGTAAATGTAAAGCCAAAAAAAAATCTCACCATGAAATGGAGAAGAATAATTTTAAATAATATTATCCATAAAGTTTCTGATTTTGCATTTGAAAAGTTTAGTTCTGTAATTCTCTTATCTATTTATGTACTACAAGTTTAAGTTTGCTCAGGAAACAGATTTAACTGGGCTCAAAGGTTCCCTTAGTTGTAATGCACGTGCTCCTTGGCTATTTTGCTGAGCTGTCCAAGTACAGAAAAAGACTTATGACTGCATTTCTTAGTGCCTCCAAGGAACATTATGTCAACTACCACCAGAACACGACTTAGAAAGGCTCTTCCTTATAACTGTGTTATTTTTTCTCATGTACTTTAATCCTCACTTTAACTTCTCTTCATCGTGGGTTTTTTTGGATTTATTATTTTACAGGATGTTTACATATTACCTTTTACAGACCTATGAATATCTAATCTCATCTCTACAGTAACTCTCAGTCTCCTTCCTACTGGCAGTGAAATGCAGCTGGCAAAGACAGAAGCTGCCACAGCAGCAGAGCTGGATCCTGGCATGAGCAGTTTTAGTGGGAAATGACTGATGCAAGACAACAGGTCTGGACATGGCAAAGCAGCAAAGCCCCAGATCTGAGGAGGTCCTGAGTAAAGCAAGAGATAAAAGAGCAGCACAAAAACGAGGACAGAATTCAATTTGCCCAACATCAAACACATCAGTACTATCAGAAGCCATAGCAGCTGTAAAGCAGCCTGGACTTACATTTCAGTGCTGTCATTAACATACCCAAATATTTCAACAGTCTTCAGTGGATAATAATGAATTACAAAGAATCAAAAATTTATGGAAAGAGTGAAGGAGACTTCAGGGCAACTACACGTTGGCAATTATATTCCTCTATGAACTTTCTGAAGTATTTCAGATCTCATTTTCAAATAAACCACTTTAAATAAAATCATGAATTATCTAGTATTTGTTAAGAGAAAGAGTTGGAAAATATTTCTTGCTATGTCTAAAACAGAAACACCCTGAAGTTTTTCATATACCAGATTTCTTTTAGAGGAAAGAGAGAAGAAAATACACATATTTTTTAAATTATTAAGAAGGTAAATATAACTCCCCATAGAAGAACCTAGGTATTAAAAATTTCTCTCAACAACAAATTCTGTGTTTGGCATGAGTAAAAAATGTCTTTAATATTACTCTACTGAACAAAATGAAATGTTTGTGCCAGGTCTCTGAGTTTTGTAAGGCCTGCTTACTTGGTGAAAAGAGCCTGTTACCATGGTTACAGCCATAAAAACTTAAGCCTCAGTGAGATATTAACATTCCTCACTCTTGGAAAGAAAAAGGTTTCCTTTTTTTAGGCAAGTGACCCTTTCTTTTTTCCTAGGTTCTCCCCCTTTCTTTTACATGCTAGAAAAGAATCAGAAATAAATCCTAATCTTGTGTAAATAGTTGAAGATGTGAAGCCTGACTAGTACATTGTTTCTGTACCAAAGCATCTTCTTTTAAAGGCAAGACTCCTTCCAGTTGTACCTAGTCCTTAACAAAATGAAAGTAAATTACCAAAAGCAAACAAATACTATGGATTTCAAGTAACCTGCTTCTAAAATTTAACAACCATGAAATAAAGCTGTTCTTGTTTTAATGGTGACCTGAGAGTGTCTTCCACATGGATAAGCCTGGGTTTGTTTTTTAGCAGCACTATACATTTCACACTATTATTTAAGTAGTGCACAGCTGCCCCTCCCACCCCCAATTTATTAAAGATCTGTTCGGTCTCCAGCTACCCCAACACTGACAAATGCATGTTAAACCAAAAAATAATCTGACATATCCCTAATGGCACAATGGAATTCACAACTGGAACTCAGTTCTAGGTTCAGTTTCCTGAAGTGCAAAGGTGAACAGACATCAGAATTCTAAAATAAAATATTAAAAAAAAAATCCTGCTTGTGTGTTCTGCCAAACCAAAACTAGTTTATACACAATTGAAACAACACTTTAGTAAGAACAAGACTTTAGACAGAGCTAATGTTTATAAAAATGGAAAATATGCTACACAACACAATGGTATTAGCAAAAACATTACTAACTACCTTAAGTATCAGAATTAACAATCTCTGGGATTATTCTTTGATTTAAGAAACTGTAACTGACTTAGTTTCTTGATCATCAACTACTAAAAGAAGTCAGTTTTGAAAAGAGACTGATAACCCAGTAGTGGAGGGGAGAAAAAAGAAGAAAAAGTTACAGGAATATGAGTAATTCTCAACATTGCTCAACTCCAGCTGTATCATTTGCCCAAAAGAGAAAAATTCCCTCTAAAAACCTTGTCTGCCTTTTGTCATTACCAGTCCAATAGTTCTAATATTACAAGCTGCACTGTCAAAACAACACAGTTCATGCTAGAGGTATTAAAATACTAAAAATATTTATAGTAAGGGTTATGCTGTGTTACTTCAGTATTGCTACATCTGACAACTATTTAAAAACAGATGTAAAGCCTATGGTCAGGAGAAATGACAGTAAATAAAGCCAGGGGCCTCTACCAGGTTGCAGAAGAATTCAGTGCACAAACTCTCAATTTATTTGCATGTTTCAACAGGGGATAAAAATCAAACTTTCTGAAACAGAACTGGGCTTTTGCATAAGATCATTTTAAGGAGACTGTAAGAAGCCTGAGTTTCTTTCCACTTCAAACAGGACGTGTAGTGAAAACCAGAAATTGTCCAAATTTTGTGTTCCAGTGTTTCCAAAGTGTAACTTTTAAGAGATAACTTCAAAGACACAAACTTGGAAGAAACATTTTAACAATTCCTACCTGTCTACTCGTTCCCAGAAAAGTCCAGAATGATAAAAACATTGGTTACACATCTCCAGTACAAAATGTGAGCACCCTGTTCTTCCTTTGTCCTGCTGTTCTTCCTCAGAACAGAGATGTGATCTTCCAGCTTTACTGTCACTCAACAGCTTCAAGCAAAAGAAAATCCATTTAAAGAGATTTGCTTGTAATCTCCTGCAGTGGGTGTGATTCATATTAGCATGCAAATGAATAGGGGATCATCACATCATACACCTGTCTGACAGCCCACTAAACATATTGCTTTAGCCCTTTGAGTGAACACTTTAGTGAGAGTTTTTAGCTCATATCAAAACTTCTGAAACCTCTGTTTTGATCTGATCATTGAAGCAATATCAAAAAGGTATTTATTTTCTATTTCAGGGTCTATTTTACTGAACTGAAAGATATGCATTTACTTTTAAAGTCTTTTTGCAATAAATTTTTAATTTATTTTTTCTTAAAACCAATCTCCTGAAGATAAATCAGATATCAGAAAGCCATAGTAAAATTGTAAGCATTAGTAACATTGTGTATACTACAATTAAACAAAATTCTTTTGCTTTTGCAGAGTAGAGCACACAAGTGCTAAGCCAAGTTCCTCTTTCCTTGGACATATAAACAAATTCTACAGAGCCCAAAGCAACAGGGCCAAATTCAAGTTGGAATGAGTTTTCAAACAGAGCTCTAGAAAACAATGTGAGCTTTTTCCATTGCAGTGCAAATGGCTCTGAAGACACTTTTCAAACTAAAAATCAGACGGTGCCCGCAATAAGAACCAAACTCTCACAAAATCATTATTAAGCTACATACCGCCTCCAGGCTGAGAGGAATCATTGGTTCCAATGATTACTGAAACACCAACTTCTTCCAACTTCATCTTCCATTCTTCAATTATTTCAGCTGAACCATCCTAGAAAAAATAATGACTTAGACACAGTTATTTTAATTGGTGTGTTGAAGTGAACTAAAAATTTGTCTTGTTAGAGACATTATTTACTTGGACAGTATTTTAAAGAAGGTCTGAAACTCACCTTACTGGCATCATTAAAAATTGACAGCTCCATGGTTCCCTTAAAATCTTGTTCCCAAACTGACTTTAGGCATTCATCTAACCAGCATTCACTGTTGTGAACAGGCACAATGATAGACTACAAAAAAACAGAGATCCACATGCATGTCAGGAAGCATGTTTTTGTTTACTTACAGTATATTTATTAAAAAGGAGAAGTAGCAGATCCTTCTGAAACTTTCACCAAAAATGCATCTTATAAAGTTAGGCAAAGAACCTTTCTTTTCTTTACAAATACATGATTTGCTTTCCTCTCTCAAGCTTCTTTTTAAATAAAGTTCCATAAGATGGTTCTTGGTAGAAGAGACCACTGAAGCAAACCCACAAATGAAACATCTGTAACACAAACCTAACCTCATTCTAGTATTCCTGCACCTCTCAAGACACTCCTCACTTTTCTCTTCTATTAATATATCTTACTCATTTATTTATCTTCAAGCCTAATTGGAGATTCTCACATATGCTGGACCCTCAGGCTGCAGCCAAGTTTTTAAAAATTATTCCACCTACAACTGCTCTAAAGCACCCTGAAGTTGGTGATGCAGTTCCATACTCTGTCATTCCAGCTGCAGGTTTTCCTCCTGCAGCCTCTCTCGGTTCTGATGTGCACCCAAAGCAGGTAAATATACCTGAAATATTTTAAAATTGGTTAGAAAACAGAGAGGAGGGCTTTTATCAGTTACCACTCTTCTAATTACCCCTAAAAAGCCAACAATCCCCAAAATTCTTTCAGTGTCTCAAAAGGCCTAAGTAACTCCTAAAAAGTGTCATGGGACATTTCAAGAAGTCCCTAGAAACACAACTTAAACTCCTCATTATGTGGGGTTTACAAAAAAACAAATGCATGGCTGGAAGAAACAGGGGATTTGTTCCTATTGTGAACAGGAGAGAATCCTAAGAAACAAAATACTGGGATACTGAAATGGAATTATACACAATTTAGTGCCATGTGAACACATGTACATCGTGCAAATACACACATGTGCACACATCAGAAGGCAGGGTTTTGGACACTGAAGGATGTACACACAGCCAAATAAAATAGTAAACTTCTAAAATGAATGAACCTCCAGATTTTTGGCAGGATGATGGAACAGTTCTTAAAAGAAGTAGGATAAAAGCACTCTAAAATTTTAAGCAAAGCAGGCCTTTGACTTGTGTCTTAGAGAGATAAATAAAATAGGGAAAAACAAAAAAAAAAGTGAAACTGATTACCCAGTAATTAAAACATACATACAGAAAAGATTATTTTAGAACTGTGTCAGATTAGTACTTCAAGACTAAAATAAAAAGCAAAAATCTGAGATTCTGAAGTACTATATTAAATTTACTCAAGATTTTTATATTCTTTATGTGGACATGGCAATTCAAATATGACCCTACACATTCATACCAACCAATCTAACATATTCAATCAGGAAAAAAGGGTTCCATAATTCTTCCAATGACAATATAAATTTGTGCAGTTTTGCACATCCAGAAAAATCAGTTATTTTCAATTTGTTTTCTGATTCACTTAGTAAAAATTTGACTAAGCCATCACCAACTAGCACACCATTGGTTTGAAAACTGGAACTTCTTTGCTTTTTTTCCGTGGTGTACTCCTGTTTTAAGTCAGGGCAGCAGTGCAAAATAGCAAGATGATGTTTGACCTCCCTGTTTAGTTTGAACTGAAAGTAGAAAAAAGTACTTCAAGGGCAGCACATATTAAACAATCCATAAATACCTGATGGCTCTGAGGTGCTCTGAACTGAGCTGCTCATGATATATTAACATGCTCCTGAACACATTACTGTGAGCAAATTCTGCTTCCACAGAACCACGACCACAGATACAGATATGGAACTGGACACCTGCCAAACCAAGGCCCAGAGCTCAACTGCTGATGATACTCCCATGTAAAACCTGAAAAATTAACAAATCCACACAAATAACTGCATTCAGCAATAGGACAAACACCTCAGAGTACTCCTGATGTTGTATACTAGTTTTATTCCAACCATTCTTGCTCACCTCACTGGTTTTCTGTGTTTAGTTTTAGTTTGAGGATGCATCAAAAATCTAGACTTTCATTTCTTCCTCACTCATTACTACAACTGTACCCTGGCTTAAGAGTTGCAACTGGGCAGTCATAAATTGGCTTTTCATGATGTGTGACTGTCTCAGAATAATTCAATCTCCTTGGACCATTTAAAGAGGGGGAAATCATGAACCAGGGCACTATTTCACCTACAGGTGTAGTCTCATAGCAAAAAATACCAGCTGGTAGTAACCTCCAGTGACTGTGGCTGCTTCTTCTGTCCCAAAACAAGATCAACTACAGCTCTGCCACTGCTGACAAACCCCCTCTCCATGGACAAACACCAGCATTGCTAAGGGAAACATAAAAAGCAGGCATAAGGGAGACCTAGAATGGTTTACTCAGTCTCTTTTTGCGACAGTTTATGCCAACTCCTACTTCCCAATCCCAGCACAGATGATTATTCCAGTTCTCCTTTCAGCAACCCTTCCTGTATTTGAAGACTGCTACCAAAACAGTGAACTACAAGAGAGCATAAAGCTCTCTCAAAGTAATTTTTAGTATTGGGGACATAGATTGCAAATATAATGTGCTTTTAGCATTACAAATCATCTGAGTGGCAGCTGAGTGATGTGAGTCAGAATTACCTTTTCATTAGCTGAGGCTGATTTACAGCAGAAAGAAACAGGAGTTTCATGACCTATGACCCAAATATGACTCTTAAAACAGAGCTATAAATCAAAGCTGGACTTGAGCATTGTGACAGCACCTGGATTTCCCTGAACTCCACACATTCTAGACAAGAATTCCATCAATTTTTGTATTTTCATATCTCCATTTATATAGCTATATAGGCACAGATAGAGATAGATGTTGTATATTTAACTTTATTTATGTGTTTAATTTGTACATATGTGCACATTTATTAAAAAATGTATAAATAAATATAAATATATAAATGTATATCTATAACATATAAAACATATTTATTATATGTAAATATATGTTTCTTATATATAATTCTATATAATTATATGTAATTATATAATTATGTATCAAATATATAATTATTATATAATTATATATCAGAGATGTATTATTATATATAAATATACAAGTTTATTTATTTATAAATATAAACATAAATGTCTTTTTATATAAATATAACGATAAACATATACACTACATATGTACATAGGAGATATATATATACACACACTATATATATATATACACACAAAATATAACTAACTAACTAGCTAACTAACTAACTAAAGGTACGGGAAGTAACAAAAGCAGGAAGTGTAGGAAGATTTTACGACTTTCATTACCAACCCCGTGTAGCCGAACGCACCGAGGCACCGAGCCCTCCGGGAGAGCCCTCCCGGGCCGGCCCCGGCCCCGGCCGAGCTGCCGTGTCCGCAGCGGGCAGCCCC